CCAGCACTTGTTGTTTGTTGATTTATTGATGCTAGCCATTCTGACCAGAATAGTAGACATTTTCAAAGTCTTCGCTTAAGCATATTTAGTTCTCGAAGACTTGCTTTAAAAAGTGATCTTTTTTTTAAAATTAGTTTCAGGTGTACAAAACAATGCAATAGTTATCCTTTTCACCCCTCACAAAGTGACACCGCCCACCCACCGTCCCAACATCATACATACCTATTACATTTCCATTCACTCCACTCACACACTCTACTCCATATCCTGTGACTATATATATTAAATTATAGTTGACATACAATATTATTCAACATCAGCTTCAGGTGTACAGCGCAGTGGTCAGGCCTCTACACCGTCCATGAAGTGGTCTCCCTAACAAGACATGTGGCCACCTGACACCCTACAAAATATTTACAACATTATTAATTATATTCCCCCCGCCCCCCCAAAAAAAGTGACCTATTTTATAATACTCAGTATGCATTCTAGGTGGAAAAATCTGTGTTTGCATATTCCTGAAACTTGCATTCACTTGCTGTGGATCCTTTCCCTTTTCTTTGCATTGGGGTCCTTTTAAAGTTTACCTTTCATAACTTAGTTTGTGGGTGTGCCGAAATAGAATGAAAGTGGCCCCTGAGCTGTCCTCCACCTTCTATCTAGCCTGTGATCTTGGTAAACCATGGTTCCTTTTGAATCTTCCTAGCTGAGTGGTTTAGAGCTAGGGCTCTGCATGTATCAGCTGTGTGCCCATGGGCAAGATAACCTTTCTCGGTTACTTGTCTGTAAAATGATAAGTTTTATGAGAGCTGTCAGGACTGAGTGACAGAATACATCTTAGGCTGGCGTCTGACACATACAAGACTCTTCGTAAGCATTGGTCTAACCCTGGTGTCTGTCTGTCTGTGATCTGATTTGCCAGTTTCGCCACGTTGTCATAAAGGTCATGTGAGGGTGGATGGAAGAGCAGTAGAAGGTTAGGTGGAGGTTCAGGTCTGACAGAGGAGTTTGTAGTCCTGACAGTGAACAGCCAGTTTGCTTTGCACGTTACTGTTTAGATACCAGGCATCTGTATGAGTCACTTTTTTATTGTTACAGGAAATAAAAACCCATTATGGATACATTTTATAGTAAGTATCTTACAATCAAATAACTTCCCTTTTAGGGTGGTTCTAGGTGGCTTCTGTTTAGCGCCTGTGATGCTCACAGTTGAATGAGTACCCGCCCTGTATTCTGAGCATATGTGTCGGCTGAGGCAGCTGCTGTTATGTTTCAGGCCGGCTCACGACTGGTTAATGCAGCTGTGAAGGAAGGAAAGTGTTTTCAATTATTAAATGAGGATGATATTTTTAGATGTCACCCAAATCCCAAATTGATACATCTACTCTTGACCTCTTTCCAGTCTTGTATGGTCCCCAGCTGCTTTTTGGATATTTCCACTTGGATATTTTCACTGTTGTTTCCCTCTTCACTGCCTCCTGCCTTCATTTCCTTAGTGCTGTAATCCTGTAGCTCTGATTTTTACCGCTGTCAATATTGAATACCAGATTAATTGCCCCTAAACTTCACCCTTAAATGTCACTCTCGCCTTTAAAGCTGTCAGCAGCTTCTTGTTAGTTGTCATGTAAAGGCCTCATGTTTAAAGGAGAGGTTACCTTCAGCTCGGGTTCCAGCTGTGCGCCCTGCACATCGCTCCCGCCCCAAATTCCCGGCTTTGGCGTCTCCCTCCCTGCTCCTTCCCGCCTCTCCCCTCCCCGCCCCCATCTGTTTAGAAAGCCTCTTTTTTCTGATTAAACAAATCCTGCCTCTTCTTCCTGCCCGATTTCTTTAAGATGAAGTCTTGTCGGTCCACCGCTGATCCTTCCTCCTCTGAACTTGGAGCACCTACCTGTTCATTCCTGTCACTTGGTGCATCATCCTTTAGTGTCTCCAGTCTCCAACTAGCCTAACTTGACCGTCTTCCTAGACTTTTTGTAGCTGATTGGCTCCTTGACGACAGGGGTTATTTCTGATTCTTTGAATGGATTTACCAGAACCATGCTGGTATATACAATAATTAACATTGTTTATGCAAATATTTTTCTAATACGAGATTTTCAAAAACTTTAAGGTGAAGGTTGCTACGGAGTTTATTGTTTGCGAATAGTTTGTTTGAAATGCTGACTTTGATTAGTAGTGTGCATTATTCACCTTATATTGAAGCTGCCTATTCAGGAGGCTCCTAAAATCGGCCATGCGGCTGGCCGGCCCCAAAACCTCACTTTCCAAAGAGAAGGCAGGCGAGGTATGGCTGAGTGCAGCTCCAGTTAGCCTCGGAGGGACGTAGGCCCCGCCTTTCCTTTTGGGACACACCTCATTCTGTCCCAGCTTGGATGAGAAGCGTGGAGCCCAGGTTAGGAGCGGGGAAGAGACGGTAGAAAAGGCAGGACGCCTGTGAGGAGGGCTCTGTGCGTCTGTGTGGGGGGCAGTGAGGTTCCTGCTGCTGCCTGGGAAGCAGACAGGGGGCACGGCTTGACCTTCTTCAAGGGCACTGGGCAGCAGAAAGGGAACTCGGAGGAGAATTTGGTTTCCTTCTGTGTCCCAGTTGTACACGACCCTTCCCTTGTCTCCAATGAATGGGTCAGTTGGGGGCCCGGGAGGGCTTTTTGGGGTAGGATGGTGAGTGGTCAGTGGGGAGGTAGAGTACTGGTGGTTCCTAGTGTAAGGGGTTTCTAAGAGTAGCTCTCCCCCAAACCATGGCTGCATCTCCCCCTCAGTAGCCACAGCAGGCTCAGCAAGAAGGGAGACGGAGGCCTCGAGGCGGAGACAGGTAAGTTAGGCATCGTCTGAGTGGCTGTGAACTCTGGGCAAGTGATGTCATACGCTGCGGTGGCAGTCTCCTGGAAGGGCGGTTATGGTGCATCTCTAATTGTTAAATAAATTGTTTCTTTTATAAAAATCTGTAAGAATTTCCCCTTACTCTTGGTAGACAATGTGCCAGCGGAACTCCGAGAGCCGTTTTACACGGACCAGTACGACCAGGAGCACATCAAGCCGCCCGTGGTTAACTTGCTCCTGTCGGCTGAACTGTACTGTCGGGCTGGGAGCCTCATTCTCAAGAGCGACGCTGCAAAGCCCCTCCTGGGCCATGACGCCGTGATCCAGGCCTTGGCACAGAAAGGCCTCTATGTCACCGACCAGGAAAAGCTGGTGACGGAGCGAGACCTCCACCAGAAGCCCATCCAGATGGTGAGTCTGCCCCCCAGGCCGCTGTGGTTGAACAGCACACTGCAGAGCGGGGACTGTTTCTAAAAGAGACGAAATGCTTTTTGAAGTTGACTGTCATCCCTGCCTAGAGTTTAAAAACTCTTTTTCTTATAAACCTCGTATCCAAATTAAGGAAGATTTTAATAAACTATTTTGGAATGTTTGGTGCCATCCTAATACCTGAGGGAAACAATCACATAATTTCCAGCTACTTTAAGTGATTTTATTCAGTTTAAAACCTGCTGTTTCCACCGTAGACTAGCTAGAAGACATGGAAGTGTCCCCTTGACCCTCTTCTCATTAGGAAAAAACGGGATCTGTTAAGTGTCGTTTACATGCTCGGCCGACCTCTCGGTCAGTTTCTGCATAGCAGGTATTTTCATTTATTTAAGAACCATTAATTCACCCTTGTGAAGAACGCAGTAAGGACCCAGGCTGGTCTGGGACAAGCATGCAGGGACTTGGGATGGTCTCTGGAGACACATCCAAATGTTTACGTTCGCTGTAGGCCGCTTCAGTCTCTTGGCCACTGTACCTGAAATTTACAAAGTGCTGGACATTGTCAAGAATGGTTTTAGAAAGAAAAACCAGTTCTGCACATTTGATTAAATCATGCTCTTCCATGAGACTGGCCATCTTCCTGGGGAGAAAGAGGAGAGAGGTGTGTGAAAAATATATTAAGAAGCAGATGAAATTATGAAATTGAAGGACGAACAAAAATTAGTTTACCCAATCTAGTACTAAATGAGGAGATGACCTACTTTGCTTTCTCCCTATTTTCCTTTTTTAACAACAAAAAAACCCCTATTTTATTACTTTCAAGAAATGGAGAATAATGAGAAAAATTTAGTTGATGAATTTAATTATGGATTTATAATAGAATTATTAAGGATAACTAAGAATGTTTATTATCAGATAGGAGGTGTTGAGCTTTCGTTAATGGCTTCATGTGCACCTGTGCTTACCCTCTGGGTCTTGTGTACCTACTTCTCACCCATGCCATGTACGGAGCAGCTCCCAGCCCCAGGGGCCAACAGGAGCCTGCTCAGGTGTCCCAACAGTATCTCACGTTCGCTTCTCTAGAATCATCGCCTTTCTAGAATCACGGCGCTAGCTGGCACCTCTGCTGTGAATATTTCCACTTGGTTGTGTCAAGGCCAAGTTGATGGTTATAAAGCGCAGAGACGACTTAGTGAATCGGTGTTTGCTAGTAGCTGCTCTTTCGGATACAGATAGATACACAGTACATCCCCTAGGTATCTTTACAGTAAGTTATTTATTTTAGATCCTATTTAATAAACATGAAACAAACAGTATCTTCTGCATTTTCTCTAGTGCATTTGTGCACATGAAAGTATTTATAGAATTAATTTAAAAATGAGGGGTTTGACGGACTGCTGATGGTATTGCTGTCGGGTTTCTCTCACACTGTATTGATCCTGTGAAAGCTTCGAAGCCATTTCATCTGATAGCAGGGGTGACATTTAAGTGACATGGACTGTTTCTCTGGTCCTGACTGCTCCCTGTGGATTGTTAGAACACGTCTAGTTTGACTATATCATCTTAACCCTTTGCAGTGTCACATTCATTGACCTATATTTTAATTGTATACTTCAGTTTTTGTCACAATTTGATTTAAAGTTTGCCAATTACTGTGAAATTTTGATTGATGATATTGTAATAGTGTATTACTCTTTTTCAAAAACCTCTGTGAGAAAACCTCTCAGGGTATTAGTAAAAACCTTGTTCCTTAAGAAACTGTTTTGTTTGGATTTAGAGTAATAAGAGTAATATCTGTTTTCTTCATCCTGCTTTTTGGGAAGTATATTGCAAAATAACGTGTTTAACAGTACTGAATATATTGACACCCCTCTCGCCCCCACCTTCCACCTCTGAATTAGCTTAGCTTTTGGGACCTTTTATTTCTGTGTGCTGCCTCACAACCTTTTGGGGGAAAAGTTGGGTTGTGGCAGCACAAGTATCATAAATATGAAGCAAGTTGATCGTATTCATTTCGGGGTGGGGATTGAGAGGAATGCTTTTTTTTTTTAATGACAATGCATGTTGGAGCATGTGCTTTTTATCACAGTGCTTTTAAGGATGGATTTTGAGGGCCAGCTGAGTGGCGTGTTGGTTAAGAGCTGGCTTGGGACGCCAGAGGGGCCCGGTTCAGATCCCACATATGAGGGCCAGTGACACTGCCCTCCACAGCTAAGATGCTGAACAACAGCTCGACCTGGAGCTGGGCTGCCATGAGTCACTGGCAACGGCGTGGGCTGCAGCCCCTGCTGCAGTGGGTTGCCATGGGCTACCGTGTAGCCAGCAGCCAGCATGAGTGGCCCTTAAGCCGCTGTGAGTGGCCCTTAAGCCGCCGTGAGCGGCCGTCCAGAAGCCGGCGACTGATCTGCCTCGCCCGGGAAGAGCGCAATGATGGTGCCAACTTGGGCCATTGAAGCGACGTCCTCCACAACTAGACTGAAGAACAAAAGGACAGCAACTTGTCTGTTCCCCTTCCCCCAATTCCCCAGCACTGTTCCCATAAAAAAAAGGATGGATTTTGAGACTATAACCTTTAATATGATTTCTTCTATATTTATATCGATGGAAAATATATTTCAGACATTGTTTTAAAGCCAATTAGTAATTATAATGAATATGTAATTATAACAAACAATTATAATGTATTAAAGTTTATTCAGCACGTAAGTATTATTTATATAATTGTGATCTGCCTAATGAATATTACAAATATGTGAGTAAAGGACAAATGTAAGTAACAGGCAGTTAATGTTAAAACGCACTGTTCTCAGAGCTGGAATTAATGTATCTTTGCATCAACATTAAATGAATGGATGGTCACCGGACGAAGAGTTATATGCATTGAAATCACAAGGGACTATCTTTCAACCTAAAGTATGTTCTAGCTCAAATCACTTCATCTGTCAAACAATCTGTCAGAATGAATACTGGTATCTAGGATGATATAGAAATTGAGGGATTTGTAGCAAATGAAGCCAGATGCTTAAAAAAAAAAAAAAGAAGAAGAAGAAGACAGAGGAGGAAGAGGAGGAAGGAGGAAGAGGGAGAAGGGGAAGGAGAAGAAAGCTTCAGAGACAGGCGGTTCTGAAGTATCTCTTACAGCAAATGAAGTTGCATGTGGATTGCATTCAGTATCATCAGGTTGGGCTCGTGGATTGGATCAGTGTCATAAAACCCTAAATTCATGGAGTGTTATAGCCAGAAAGAACCGTAGATGTCAGGAACTAGCAGGTGTAAAACTCCCCAGTTGGGAGGAACCTAGGCGACTGGAATACAGATTCCGACCCTCTGGCCAGAGCTATTCACTGAACCTGTAGAAGAGGGCTTGGGACATGCACTTTTAAACAAGTGTTCTGGGTGATTTTCACGATCAACAATGTATGGGAAATACTGATCTAATCCAGCCTTTTTATGTGTGTGCAACTTTGGAGAGGGTAAGATTCGCCTAAGGTAGCACTGTTACTTAGTAGCAAAACTATTGGGTTGTCGGAAAAATCATGACGCGTTTTTGCAATGAAACACATAGAAAAAATATGTCATGACTTTTCTGACAACCCAATAGAAGTAAAAGCTGAATGAGCTAGAACTGTGACTCTAATTTACAGTGCTGTGATCTGCAGCAATTTTGCTCACTTTATTGAAATCACGTTTACTTAGCTGTTTATCTAAATGTAGACTGTGGTATGAGTCGAACTCTTGGTTGCAAATCAGCTTTCCAACCATGTTTACATATGAAGGAAATAAGAGTTGATATTTATAACACTTAATTATTTAAGTAAATATATATAGTATATGTGATATGAAATAATGAGATTGACTTTCATATGTGACTTATAAAATAATGTTTATTATTTAGCCAAATCTTTTTTGGAACAGTCATTATTATAGAAATCAAAAAATTTATTTATTTTTATTTATTTATTTTTTTTTTTAGCTGAGCCATCCTGCTACCTGTTGGCAGCTCAGCGGCTGCTCAGCTCGGGCTGGCATCGAACCAAAAAATTTATTTTTGAAGTGCTTTCTTTTAATGAGTACCAAAAAGAGATGGACTATTCTATGTGCTTAATGGACGTTGAAATGGGCTGATAGGTCATTTGATAGGTAAGGCATCAAGTATTCTCTCCTGAACTGTTGGTATTGTTAGAATGGCTGTTTGGGGATATCCAGAAACCATAAGCTAGACGGCTACTGTACAAGTTGAAGCAATAGCCTCGGGAACTCAGAAGTGGATGTGACCATTTCTGCTGGGAGGATCAAGGAAGGCACCGCAGGGTAGAGGCTCACTGGGGCTTCGGCGAGTGGTGAGGGGAGCGGTGAGAGTGGCACCCAGTCTGAAGGAATTGCTAGACCCAAGTCTGAGCTAGGAGAGCCCGCGTGACAAGCTGAGAGCTGGCTGCATGAGGATAAATGTGAGATGAGGCTAAAACTGTAATAGCCTGGGCTAGATCATGAAGAGGCCATGAGCCAAACGAAGTTAGGGTTTGTTTTTGTTTTTGTTTTGTTTTTATCTGAGCCATCCTGCCACCTGTTGGCAGCTCAGTGGCAGCTCAGCTCGGGACGGGACTCGAACCGCTGTTGCTCAGAGCACGCACTCTTGAGCGAGCTCTTAACCAACTGAGCCACTCAACTGGCCCTCGAAGTTAGGGTTTTAAACTTTTGTGGGTTAGAGGACATGGAATAAGTTTTCACACTGTTGTCTCTGAGTTTGTTGTTGTTGCTGCTGCTGGTGGTGGTGGTGGTGGTTTGTTGATTTGCTTTCTCTGCCTCCATTAAACAAATAAAACATTGCAGAACACTGTGAAACACTGAGTAAGCTGCTATACTGTCAGCCTCGTGCAAATCGCTGCAGTTTATTAATCCTCAGGCCTCCTGACCTGCTCGTATCTAGCCGTCCAGTCTCATCAGACGGTCGGGAGCTCTTTCCATGGAGTGTTCTGTGTGCT